AATGACCTTTACATGTAATAATAAACTTTCCACATATCATCTCTGATATCCACTGGACTCACAGTTGCGCGATACGTCAGCTGTTTGGGATTCCCCTCTGTTCTGACGTCACCACGCTTTCTGATTGGCTACCTGTCACATTCAGCAGGTTGTGTTCTCGTTCCCAGTCAGGGAAAACCCCACAGGCTGCGATAAAAGGGCCAAGACAACCAAATTGGGTTTATTCAGGATTTAGTGGGAACACCAACATGCAGAAGCCTGATCTGACTGTTCTGACTCCGCGGTAATAAAAAGGTTGGGGACCACTGATTTATCTCATGCTAGTAGCAACACGAAGGATCAGCACTTTTACTGTTACAGTTTCCGTTCGGAAACTACCATAATCAGTTCTGTTAAGTCTAATCTGGGCAACCTTTTCTTTTTCAACCCTAATAAATGTAATATTCTATTGAGCTGTTATGACTCAGATGCTGGCCGTCCTCTGCTGCTGCTGCATCGCTATGGAATACCTGGAGCGGCAGAGAAAGATGCGGCTTATATGTGCATGTTTACTGGTTTAAAAAAAAACTTTGGGGTTATGGTTTACAGTCCAGTGCGGCTCATAATTCGGAAAATACGGACTATAATCCTTCCTGGATTTTTTCTGTGAAGAACCCAGAGAGGGTTATTTGGTTATTATTTATTTCATTAATAGTATTATTTATTTCCTGACTTTTGTTCTGTGAAGAACCCAGAGAGGGTTATTTGATTGTGCTTTCTGGAAAACAATACATTTTTACATTTAGGCACTCCTGCAATCGTCACACTTTTTCTGTTACAAACTGACTCCGGCCCCCAGCAGAGAAGGGAAAAGTTATGTGGCCCTCGCAGGAAAAAGTCTGGGGACCCCTGGTCTAACCTGTCTGGACGTCTCACCTGGATCCATGGGGATGGACGCTCGGCTCCTCTGAGCCGCCGCCCCCTCCGGGTCCTCCTCCTCGTCGCTGTCTGGGGACGGAGCTTCAGGTAGGTGCAGACCCATCACCTGCAGGGACACGCAGGTGAGACGGTGCACGTCAGCAGGTGGGAGAGCTGCGTCACCTGTTGCTGGGCAGATCTCACCTCTATCCTGTGCTGCAGCTGCTGCAGCTGCTCCGAGTGGGACGTGTCCCCCCTGTCCTCCTCCTCCGGCTCCCCAGGTCCGTCCGGGTCCTGGTTCAGAGGCTGGTAGTAGTACCCCCCGCCGCTCTCCTCCTCCTCTTCTTCCTCCACCCCGTCCTCACCCCCAGGCAGCACCGCCCCGTCCACCGGACGCTCGTCCTCCCCCAGCTCGTCCTCTGAGCTTGGCAGCACTCTCTCTGGTCCCATCGCTGAGCGGCACACTTCCATCCACCAGACGCAGCCCTGCGGACAGACGGGGGACAGGCAGGGTGAGACGGGCTGGCGGAGAGAACTACACCTTCAGAGGAAGCAATACATCCTGTAGCAGAATCCAGTGATCCTTCACTGGGTCAGAACCAGTAGAACCCGGTGGTTCTGCTGGTTCTGACTCCTTCCATGGCCCGCCGTCAGCTCCGGCTCCGGCCGCGGTTCCTCTCCTCAGACCAGAACCAGCGGTCGGAACCGCCGCTACCTGATGAAGGTGGAGAACAGCGAAGCTAACGGCTAACACAGCTAGCAGCTGCCAGTCTCCAGATCATTTGATGGTTAGTTTGTTAGCTAGCTGGTGAGTCCGGTAGTTGGTATCTCCCAACATAACCTCTTGTCTTCACCTGTCCTCACCTCTCTGGGTCTGCTTCACCTGGAGTTAGCCGTTAGCCTCTGCTGCTAGGCACAGCGGATGATGCATCAACACTTCCGGGTGCGTCACATGTAGCAACGGAAGTGCTTTTCAGAAAACTTTTTTTTGACAAACTTTATTGAACAAAAGAAAAACAGATGGCGTTTCCTATCAGACAACAACCAGAGTGAAGACATTATGTGAAGTAGATTGTAATAAATGAACTTCGCAGTAAAATAATAAAAATAACATCCGGAACCTCCATAGAAACTGAACTTTGGTTCTTCTTTGGTCAGGGAGAGGCTAAAGGAAGCCACAGGGTGGCGCCAGAGAACAGCAAACCCGTCATTTTCCCCTGAAGAACCAGAAGTTTCTGATCATCTTCAAGAAAATAAAAACTACACAGATTTAAACGTTTGGCTTCAGCCGATTCTGGGATAAAGAACCAGAACCACAGTGATTTTATTTGGATCCACATGATGGTTCAAGCCTTATCTGGATTCAGTAAGACCAGACCAGGTCAAACAGAACCACCACAAAACCTCAGGCTGTACAGAAATTATAACAGAAATTATTTAATATTCACAACCTTCTACTGAGGAGTTCAAAATAGTTTTATTTTTCAGGAACTCAATTAAAATAGATTTTTCTCAGATTGTCCCAAAGCTTCTAATCTTTATTTCTAGGTTCTTCAGAACCTTGAGATTAATTCAGAAGCAGTTCTGAAAGCTAGTACCAGCAGATACTCCAGAAAACTGCTAATGTTTCAGCAGTCTGATTGGCTCATCTGGGGACTGGAGGTCATGACCTGTCAGGAGTTCAAAGTTCACCTTCTTCTTTCCCAGAATGCTGCAGATATTAATGGATTCATTCAGTTGTTTTCATTTTTCTGGACCTGTAAAAGGTTCTGCTCCTGTAATCCAGAACCAGAATTTTCTGTTTGATCTTGTTTCCTGTTTTGGTTCCATAGCAAAAACAAAGAGTGACGTCATCACACATGCCCAGACACAGAACCGTCCCTGCAGAGCCCAACAGAACTTCACGTCCCTGGCCATGTCTGGCCCTGTCAGATATATTGGTTTCTATAGCGACGGAACTCGTAGAGGATCGTCACCGGAAGCTACGTCACAGCTAATCCTCCAACATTGAAGAGGAGTCACTCCGATGAAGCTTGTTCAGTTTCATCTTCATTGGTCAGATTAACTTTTATTTAACTTTAATTAAAACATAACAATTAGGTATATTCACGCGCTCTTATTCATTTATAGCAAAATGTTGTGTAATGGCGGTTCAGCAGGTCAGGCTTTCTGCTCAGAGTGAGTCCTCCTGTCTGTCCTATCTGTGATTCGTAGTAAAGCTGCTCACCTGCAGGAACACACCGGGACGCCCGGACTCCCTCTGCCCGACCAACAGCGCTGCTGCCCGGCTGCAGGAGCCCCAGGCCGCCCGGGTCAGAATCAGAACCGGTTCTGATGCTCGCCGTCCCGTTGGACCCGAACCTCCTCTGGCTTACGGCGGAACCGTGGAATGATGACATCAGCGCGTGACCGTGTGCCCGCTCTGCGCGTGAGCTGATCAATCGCCTCTCAGGTTAATTGACTGATTGAGCGGAGAGCCAATCAGAGAGTCGATCAGCTGGTCCTGCTGTCTGATTGGCTCGGCACGGTTCGGTTCTGAGGTCAGCTGAGGTTCTGGAGACTATTAATATCCTGCAGGGCAGGTTCTGATCAGATCCATGGTGAAATGATGAACCACCGGACCAGAACCGAAACCGGCCCGCCTCAAAACCTCCTGATCCCTGTGCTGCTTCTGGTTCTGGATGTTCTGGTTATGATTCCTCAGACGTTTGGTGCAGTTTGGTTTGTGTTTGGTTTTGTTCCAGTTGACCCAGTAACCTCCCCTCCACCCGCCCAGTGCTCCCAGTGCTCCCAGTCCGGATGCTGGCGGCCTCCATCCAGGTCAGCGGGGAGCCGCTTTCGGCGGCCGAGGTTCAGGATATCTGCGACCGGCTGCGGGAGGACGGGGTCCGGCTGCTGTCGGTCCGCGGCTGCCGGCTGTCGGACCGGGACTTCGGCCGGGTCTGCCGCGGCGTGGCCGCCTCGCGCTGCCTGGCACAGCTCAACCTCAACCTGGGCGTGGTCTCCAGCATCGGCCGCGCGCGCCACCTGGCGGACGCCTTGGCGGCCAACCGTTCCCTGCAGACTCTGTTGTAAGTAGCCGCCTCCTGATTGGCCGGGCCTGGCGGCCTGATTGGTCAGTGACGGCTTGTGCCGCCCCCCTCCAGCCTCCACGGCAGCCCGCTGCTGGACGCCGGCCTGGAGGCCCTGAACCCGGCACTGGCCGCCCACCCGGCGCTGGTCTGCCTGGACCTGGGCGACTGCCTGCTGGGGGACGCGGCGCTGGCGCTGATCTGCGGGATGCTTCCGCCGGACGGAGCCAAGTCAGGTAGGACTTAGGCTCCGGTTCCCCAGGGGCCCTGAACGCACCACATTCTCCTAGAGCTGATGATGACACACCTGCAGTCCAGGTGACACCAGGTGATCCAGATCATCTAGAAGATTAATCACCAATCAGATTACAGGAAGATTTTACTTTCCTTCACTCCTTCCAACATCTTAATGCTACAGCTGTTAACACCTGGGCTTAACCTGTTATTGATGCGGGATTATCCAGTTATTAACCTATGATTTTAACAAATAATTAACTATTAATGAACCTGTGATCAACCTGTAACTAACCCTTTATTAAGCCGTTACTAAGCAGCTTGATCACCCAAATGTTAATCAGTTTTTGACCAGTTATGAACCTTTAACCAACCACTTCCAAAGCAACCTGTTGCTAACCAGAACCGGTTCGGTCCGGTCTGCCCCTCCAGGACTCAGAGAGCTGACTCTCAGCGCCAATCCGCGGATCACAACCAAGGCCTGGGCCCGGTTCTCGGTAGCAGTGGCTCACAGCTCCCAGCTCCGGGTCCTCAACCTGGACTACAACCCACTGGGTAAGGAACCGGATCCGGAACCAGAACCTGGTCTGGGTCTGGTACTGATGGGTCCAGTTCTATCTGCAGGGGACCAGATTGCGGCCATGCTAGCAGTTGCCGTGGCGTCCAGTAGAACCCTGGAGGTTCTGGACCTGGAGGGAACCGGACTGACCAACCAGTCGGCGCAGGTCAGCAGCTGCAGCTTCTCACCATAATCTTCCTCCTCTTCCTCAGCAGGCTGACGGCACCGGTTCTGGTTCTGTTCTGCAGGTGTTCCTGGACATGGTGGAGAACTACCCCACCTGCCTTCGGGTTCTGGTTCTGGCCGAGAATGAAGTGAGTTCGGAGCTCCAGCAGCAGATCAGCGACCTGCTGTCTGAAGGGGAGGAGGACGGCCGGGAGGCTCCGCCCCCTCCGCCAGGCCACGCCCCCAGCAGCGCCCTGCAGCCAATCAGAGAGAAGCCCCTCCCCTGGCTCCCCCACAGCAGTAAGGGCTGAAAGCGGATGGAGCCGGTTTTGTTGGACCCAGACCAGAACCAGCGTCCTGTGTGGTGTTTACATGTTCTCTGGATCGTAGGAGTTTAGTGTTCTGTCTGGTGTTAATTGGCTCCAGTTCTGGCAGCATTATGCTGTTTCAACACATTAATATTCAATTTGTATTTATTATTCTTATTCTGTGGTTCTACTCAGGTCCGGGTTCTGGTTTCAGTCAGGCTAAAATTTGAATTAATAATGTGTTAAAACTGATTCTCTATAATACAGTCATTTAAATATATTTTAAATTTAATTAAGAGGAAGGAGCTAATCTTATAGTTCTGACAGTTCTTCTGACCTCCAAACCCAGTTCAGTCCGGGTCCGATTCCCTGATGGAACCAAACACTTCTTTGGGTCCTGATGGGCCAGACCCGGTTCAGATAGGTGGAACCAGAACCAGATGGCTCCAGTTCTCCCTCTGGTTTATGGTTTTGTGGGTTTTTGGTACCATTGACCCGGCTGAAAGGAACCGAACTGAACCTGGCCGTCTGAACCCAGAAACCTGGTTCTAAAGTCTGAATGACCTTTGACCCCACAGACTCCAGTCTGCCCACGGTCATGCTGACATCAGGAGTAGGTGAGAGCCTATTGGCTGAAGCTGAGATATGACCATGCCCACTTCCTGCTAGAGTGTTGTCACTTCCTGGACTGAATGTTCGTCTGCTCTGATCTGATTGGTGGGTCTGGGGACGGGGCGGGGCTTGCTGCGATGATGTCACAATAAAAACAGTTTACAGCTTGGTAAGGTTGGCTCTGATTGGTTATTTCTGCTCAGCAGGTCCAGAACAAGAACAGAGTGAAACAGATTTATTGAAGACAGACCGAATCGGTTCTGGTTTTGTTCAGAGCAAAGTTCTGATGACTTCTGGACCGCCGTCATTCAGCCGATAAGAGGAAAAACGAGCTCATTCTTCAGTTGTATTTTCACCATGTTGTCCTTTCACTTCTAAATGCCACAGTTTAAAGATTTAGTTAGCAAACTTGCTAACTAAATCTTTATTTTGTAAGCTAGCGATATTTAGCTTTGTAACTATTTAGTTTGAAATGGTGACATTTATAAATGAATAAACATTGAAATGAACTCTGACTACTGCTGCTAATGTTTGACAATCGGCGCCCCCTGCTGGACCACCGGGGTCAATCGGGTCAAATAAAATCTGTACAAGAAGCAATAAATAGAATATCTTACAATATTTACAAAACAGTTTCGTGTGCATCCGGTTCCGGTCTCAGAGTAAAAACATACGGGGAGTCGGTCCAAACCCAGTTCTAGGAACCAGAACTTCCACCTGACTCAGTTCACCACCCCGACCCGATCCGGATCCATTCAGAGAAATGTTTCTGTTGAAGAACGGTCGTCATGGTAACGCCTTCCAGAGTGCGAGTTCTGATCCAGTCAGGTCCGGTTCTATGCTGCAAACCATCTGATCAACGTATGATGTCATAGTGCAGATGGATCTGTGACCTCTGACCTCTCTAAACAACCTCTATGTTGAGTTTCTTTTTCTCTGGTTCTGCTGCATTCAGGAAGCTGATCCGATGCTCCGGCTGGTCGCCGGGCTCCCGCCTGCTGCGCGGCGATGGGGACAACCAGCAGGGGGTGTGGCCACGGCGTTGGCCGGGGGCGTGTAGGACCAGAGCGGCGGTCAGCGCCACCACGCCTACAGACACGATCGTCAGAACCAACACAACGACGAGCTGCAGGTCCGACAGTCCACCGGCGCCGTGCTCCTTCACCGTCACTTTTACCTTCCTGTTGTCATGGTGACCAGTGTCCCGGGCCCGCGTGGTCCAGACCGGCGGGCTGGCGTTGGCGGGGCTCGGCGGCGTTTCGCAGGTGGTTCCGGTGAATCCCGGCCGGCAGAGGCAGCGGAAGCCTCCGGCGCGGTCGAGGCAGCGGCCGCCGTTTCGGCAGGGCTGGCTGGCGCAGTCATCCATGTTGACCGTGCAGAACCGGCCCGAGAACCCGACCGGGCAGAGGCAGGAGAACCGGTTCACTCCATCCACACAGGTGGCGCCGCTGGCACACGGGACCATCAAGCAGTCGTCGATGTCGGTCTCACAGCGGGGCCCCGTGAATCCGGCGAGGCAGCGGCACACCAGCTCCGTCGCAAAGCCGTCAGCGTCCTCACACAGGCCGCCATTTTTACACGGGGACCTGGAACCAGAACAAGATGGGAGTTAAAGTCCAGGAACTTTAAATGAACTACCATAAAATACGTTGGATCATCAATAAGTCATATCACAACAGAGATGAGACATGCTAGCGTTAGCTTAGCCCTTCAACCCTCAGACTCTGTGGACCTGTTGCTACAGATCACCTTCTCTGGAGACACGGCCCCTTCCTCTTCCGGCAGGTCGGACCATGGAAACCGTCTGGACACAAGCAGCGGAAGTCTCCGCTGTCCTCCATCAGACAGGTGGCGCCGTTGAGGCAGGGCTGCTGGGAGCACACGCTGAGGTCTGACAGGAAACACACAGCACAACAGGCAGCGGTGTCAAGAAACACCAAGACTGACGGGTTTGCGACGGGTCGGTGAGCCGCAGAGACCTTTGTCGCAGAATCGGCCGCCCCAGCCCGGCTGACACGCGCACTGCCACGGCTGCAGGCAGGAGCCGTGCACGCAACCCGGCATCGTCACGCAGCGCTGGCACAGCTCACCGTCCCAGCCCGGATCACACCTGGAAACAGGCAGCAAGTTTCAAGGAAAGATGGAGGAATTAACCATGAAAGGAGACGAAAACAGGTCAACGTTCCTGTGGTTTCTGCACCGCAGCCGTAAAAAAACATGAGTTTCTCTGATGCTGAGACATATGTCCTGGATCCTGGAAATGTTTTTCAGCTGAAAGAAAGCCCATTCTGGACCCGTCTTTATGTTGCTCTGAAGGTTCAGGTCAGAGGTCTGCCTGATCTCTAGTTTCCAGCTGGAAGAACTGACTTAAACTGTGAACCATTCAAAATAAAAGCACCTGGTGAACATCAGTAAACCGTTTGGTCTACAGGGTGCAGCCAGACTGAGGGAGGATTTCCTGTTACACCTGGAGACCAGATCTGACCAGGCTCAGCAGCGTTCAGCAGGTCGGTATCCATGGAAATGGGATTTAACCTTTGACCTGCTGGTTCTGATGACGTTTTACCTGCAGACTCCAAAGTCATCACAGCGGCTGTTGGTAGCGTTGCAGCTGCAGTTGCTTCCTGTGGGGAGAACAGCACCGATCAGAGGAAATGGTGGGAAAACAGGAAGTAGATAAATCCTGTCAGAATAAAGTGTCTGCTGGGAACCCAGCTCTGATCTAAGAACCTGAGACATTAAAGTTCTCCAGCTGATCAGCGACTGGAATCTGAAACTGGAAAACAGCCGGAAGTTCACAGGAAACCACCGGGAAGCTTCCTGGACCTTTCATAATAAAGGTCCAGGAAGTCCTTCCCTGTAACATCTCTGAGCTGCACAGCAAGGAAGTCACTGGATGTTATTTAGGAATTATAAAGACATTCCAGAAGTTTCCAAGTTTCTTTGTGCCCCTGACATGTGAATACGTTTCCATCCCGTTTAAAAGCCGGGAAGCTTCCAGCAGCCAGTCGGTAATGTGACCCGAAACCACCGGATCACACCTCCAGTCCGAAACTATTCATCCCCCTGCAGATTCAGAAAAGTTTTCGATTCATCCAGGAAGTTTGTTCCTCAAGAGGAAAAATCTGGCTCTGGATTTTATTTTGAAAATTCACTGGGAATTCTTTCCTGTTGCCTCAATAATTAAAGGAAATGTGTTCTGGTCTGAACCAGAACCAGGAATCAGCAGCAGAACTGTTTCCTGGTTCTGCTGCTGATCCGGTTCAGAACCAATTCTCCAGTAGTGTCTCTGATTGGTGGGACTCTGTCAGAGGTTGATGACAGGTTTGCTCCGTGTTTAGACCGTAACCTCTGACCTCTGGCCTCGGAGTGCAGCTGCCAGCTGGATTGGGTTTCAACTGGAATGGAGCTGGATTGTTCCAAGGAACGTCTGTTATCCGACCCGATCGCTGGCACAACAACTGGCGGGCAAAGCAAGCCGTCCGCCACGCGACCTGTCGCCTGTCAAAGGTCAGAGGTCAAACTCCTGGCCTTACAGCAGGAACTGGTTCAGGAAAACTGGTGAATCCAGAAACGGGAACACTGTGAGGATGAGCAGCTTCCCATCTTCATTGTGGAGGAAGTCAGAGGGAGCAGCCAGGAAGTTACAGGAAGAAAAACGTTTTTCATGTCCATGAAAATCAGTTTGATAATCAATAAAGGAGACTAAAACAGGAAGTTCAAGGATTCCTGTTGGAACTAGAGAAGATAATTATTAATAAATGTGTTTTCTTTTGGTTTCAAGGTGAATTAATCAGGTTGGTTGTTGTTCATAAACATCGCTTCCTGATCAAGAACAGATCAGGATTATTGATGATCAGACAGAACCTTCTGGTTGTTCCATTACAGCCCAGACTTCCTGTTTATAAGCCCAGGTTTCCTGCAGGAGTCTGCAGATCATGCCCAGACCTGGACCCTCTCCGCCGTTAGGAACCTTCAGAGGAAGCAGAACCTCAGGTGTACCTGGGTCATGTGACCTACCTTCACCTGCACAGAGGGGCGGGGCTAAGAGCATGAGGCGCACGCAGCTCAGCAGGAGCAGGACGCCCGCACCTCGGATCGCCAACATGTTGGCTGCAGAGAGGCCGTCCTGCAACAGGAGGAGGACATGGTGAGACGTAGACCATTTGAGTGCACCTGTCCTCATGTGAGGACAGAACCAACTACAGCACTGTTAGTTATTCCTGATGTAAATGGAATGCAGCTTTAGCATGCTATTTGTTGTGTTAGCATTCTAGCTGTTTCTTTTAGCTCAGAAGTTGGTGCATGGATCTGGAAATAATATCGGACATCTTAGATTTCATGTGTTCATTGTGTCATAAATAGTGTAATCAAGTTGGGAAGTTGGGCCTTCCAAACTGGAAGCTTGAGAATTTGGCCAGAAAACATCAGGAGGATCCTCTGGACCAACAGCTGGACTCCTTGTATTACTCCTGGTTCAGCTGGGCCCCCGACATCCGGCTGTAGACATTAGACCCCAGAGATGATCTGGTCACTCTGTGAGGTCCTCTTTCTGTCCTGGAGTGACCCTGAGCCAAGGAGATTTTTCCGGACGTCTGCAGGTTGGAGGTGTCGCTGCAATGCGAGTGAAGTTGAGCTGCCACTGAGGTCCGTCCAACATCAAATGGGTGAAACTTAAGCTGCCAGCGAGGGACAGTCCTGCAGGACACTGTGAGCTGAACTTCAAACGGACCGAGGGACATGTCTTGGGTTCCAGTCCTGCATCCCATGCTGCTCCACGTCAAACTTTTCCAAATGTCCAACCTTCTTTTACTCTTTCCCCCAACATGGACAACAATCTCTGTAAAGGGCAGGTTTGTCCAGCAACTGGACCCTCCTCCTCTGTCTCAACCAAACCTTTGGTACAGCAGGGAGTGGATGTTCCTCCAGACCAGGAGTCCTCCTGTCCTCCAGGGACATTGTCCTGAAGCTGCTAGGTGTGTCACTGCTTCTACACACCAGGGACACATCGAGAACTGGCAGGATCCAGGACGCTCTACTTCCTGATCAGGTCATGTGACCTACCTGTTCTTCTTCCTCCTCTTCTTCTTCCCGCTCTCTGTTTCCTTCAGTCTTGTTGCCGTGGTGACGGAGGTCCGGATCACTGTGCCCACACGGTCGACTGTCAGGCAGGAAAACAAGGAGCGGATCACTTTTCCAGAGATTCCAGGGAAGCACACGGCCTCTGCAGAGACAGGAAGGGACATGCCTAGATTACCGACAGCATTCGTGTGGCTCGCATACCACAGCGCGCGCACACACACACACACACACACACACACACACACACACACTCAGAGCCTTTCTTTCAGTGTGTTTGCTCTGGGGAGAGAAGAATGAGGGGAGTGTGTGCTGGAGAGAAAGCAACAGGTGGTTGGTTAGTGGGAGAGTGAGTCAGAGCAAACATTCTCCATCATCTCTCCACAGACTCACTCTTCTCACTCCATATCACGCCTCTGACGAACACTTC